CTGAGCCACCAGCTTGCCATGCAAATGCAGGTGCAAGGACATCCTTTTGGAGGAGGCCAGGTCACATGACTGGGCCCCAGCTGCAAAGGAGGCTGGGAGGGAATGTTCCTGGCTTCTGCCTTGGAACAGAGGAAGCATGTTGAGAGGAACATCAGGCATCCTTACAAAGGCAGTTATGTGACTTTGAACTTGTGTTCATTCTGATAATGGACCACATCTCCCATACTGTACTCGTAATGAATAGATTTTAAATACATTGTATAATAACTTTATAACTCTTGTGATGATTTTGCATTCTATTGTTTGTTTAAAACAAATACTGAAAATGTACCACATTTTCTTAGCCTTTCTGTGGCAGGGTTACAGATACCCCAGTATTCTCAGAAAGTGGAAGTGATTCCAACCTCTCAGAGGTTCAGAATCAAACTGTATGAACCGTGGGCAAGCTGTTACCCAGCAGTATTTCAGCATCACCACCCGGGACACGGGCTACTGCTGCTTAGCTGAGGACCTATTAGTGTTGATCATACTGGTATTGCTAAGTATTGCTAGGTGTCGATGAACAAGTGTTTCATATAACCGGGTAAGATACAACCAGGAATGATTATTATAACAATGTTACTTTATTGATTTATTTATGACTAATGAATTTGCACAGCTCACCAGAAATGTTAAGTACACAACAGAACCTTAGGATTCGATGCTTCCATCCTGTTTAATTCAGTGTTCTATTTCCAAAACACAGTCATCTCCCAGAGAACAGTGAAGGCAGGAGATACAACCAAAAGGAGGGGAATTGTGCGATTCTTTTTTTGTTCATTTCATACATATTTATTAAGCACCTGCTGTGTGCTGGGGATAAAACAACAAAGTCCCTGTCTTAAAGTGTGCACCGAGTAGAAGTGGGACTGATTGAGAGATCATATCATTTACAGTTGATTCAGATAATGCTAAACCACAGAGGAAAACGCTCAGTTTTGCCCTGGGTCATCAGGGTAAGCGTCTAGGGACCAGGATTCCTCTTCTCTTCTCTTCTCTTCTCTTATATTTCTTCTCTCTCTCTCTCTCTCTCTCTCTCT